GCCTGATGGAAAAAAGGCATCAATAGAAATTCTTCGGATCAGTCACAAATGAACACGGGAACAGCATACCCTGTCTAAGACAAACAGTGAATTACTTCACCAGCAATGAGGCACGAGAGAGACAGAACACCAAGGACTAGATCATGCTCAAGTCGGTTTTCTGTACCAAGCAAGCACAGCATGCGCATAAAATTAAAGTGGCTATCGGGGCTGGGATGGGGGGTTTTTTCCTTAAGGCGATCTGATAATGCTCTCCTGGGACCACCCTCGCCCTCCCCCGGGGCTCCCTTTCTGGGCCTCCCGGGGGACCCTGTGTGCTTCGGGTAATATGGATGCAGCAGCTCTTACCTGCTTCACTGACCTTCCTTCAGATTTTATCCTTCCTGATCGCAGCTCCCTGGTAGCTCTGCAGAATTCACGAGAAGCCAAGTCTCAGTCCTACTCCACGGGTTCTGGCTCACAGAAAAGCAAGCTTTTCTAGTCTCCACCATCTACTACCCCGATCTGAGCACAGTCTGGCAGATGCACCTCCTTTTCCCTCCTCAATAATACCATCATTTGAAACACGGTATCTTTACAAACTTATAATTGATATGCAATACAATACAGCATTACTTTATAGACAGGTGGCCATGAAATATTTGGGATGCCCTTATACTAAAAAGCTATTCATTGTTTATTTGACATTTACATCTCACTGGACATCCTTTATATTTACTTGCTAAATCTATATTTACCTGCTAAATTATAGACAGGAACATAGGCCTTTAAATTCATTGGCTCACTCAGGCTTTGATACAGCACATTAAAATGCCAATACACAGGGCTAACGTTGTGGTGTAGCAGATTAAGCCATGATGCCAGCATCCCATATGGGTGCCAGTTCAAGACCTGGCTGCCCCACTTCTGATCCAGCTCCCTGCTATTGTACCTGGGAGAGCAGCAGAAGATGGCCCAAATGCATGGACCCCTGCACCCAAGTGGGAGACCTGGAAGAAGCTCCAGGTTCCTGGTTTTGGCCTGGCAAAGCCCTGGCCATTGTGGCCATTTGAGGAGTGAAGCACCAGATGAAAGATCTCTCTCTCTCTCTCTCTCTCTCTTTAACTCTGCCTTTAAAATAAAATAAAAAAAAAATCCAATACCCTTAAATGAGAATAAGTTTCCAGCATTTTGTAGTTATTAAAATGTTCATTTTTATACTAAATACTTGTTTAAACCAAACCTTTGCATATATTCATTTTTGTTTATTCATTTAACACAGAGTTCTTGGGCATCTGCTATTTGCCTGCTTCTTCCGGAGGCTGGGAATTGGTGGTGTGCACAAGATCACTGGGCATTCCATTATGGAACTAGCATTTGACTGTGGCTCCTGGTGTTGTTTCTTTTATTTGACAGGCAGAATTAGTGAGAGAGAGAGAGACAGAGAGAAAGGTCTTCCTTTTGCCGTTGGTTCACCCCCCAATTGGCCGCTATTGCCAGCACGTTGCGGCTGGCACACTGCGCCAATCCGAAGCCAGGAGCCAGGTGCTTCCTCCAGGTCTCCCATGCAGGTACAGGGCCCAAGGACCTGGACCATCCTCCACTGCACTCCCGGGCCACAGCAGAGAGCTGGACTGGAAGAGGAGCAACCGGGACAGAATCTGGCGCTCCAACCGGGACTAGAACCCAGGGTGCTGTCGCCGCAGGTGGAGGATTAGCCTAGTGAGCCGTGGCACTGGCCATTCCTGGGTTTTACTTTGGAACATTGGCTCCCATTGCACACAAGCCACTGTTTCATATGGGAAGACCCACTGGATATGGCTCCTACTTTCCAAGAGCACATTAAAGTGTACTAGATTAGCTGTTCCTTACACATCTTGAAATTCACCCCAGAGAGCAAGTGTTTAGCCCAGCAGTTAAGACTCCTGCACCCCACATCTGAGTGTCTGGGTTCAAAACCAGCTCCAGCTCCTGACTCCAGCTTCCTGCTAATACAGACCCTTGGAGACAGTAGTGATGCCTTCTACCCACATGGGAGACCAAGACTGAATTCCTGCCTCTCAGTTTCCAGCCCCTGCCCACACCCTGCCACTGTGGGCCTTTGGGGAAATGAACCAGCAAATGGGAACTCACTCTCTGTCTTCCTCTCTCTCAGTATCTCTCAAATTAAAAAAAAAAAAAATCCCCAACCTCTTCAAATCAAACCCATAGATATTAACAAGCTTTAAATTGCAGAGGACTTTCACATTGTTGTTTTCTCCCTTTGTCTAACTTTCCCCAGCTCACATTGGGAAACGACTGGCCTGGAAGTGTCATCTGCTACGACCTCACCATCAGGTTCTGGAGTCTCCTGTTGTCCTTGCTGGGATTTATCTGCTTGGGTTCTTCCTCTACCCTCTGTTTGGACTTGCACCTGACATGTGCATTCTTTCTCTGGCTATTTCATCTATTTGATACTGGTAGCTACTATAGCAGAGGAGGAAATTAAAGGTTTGCAGTGTTCCAGAAAGTTCTTAAGACAAGGATCTAGGTTATGGTTTTTTTTTCCCTATGACTCATATTCTTTCCTCTAATATCTCATCTTTTACTTGTGACCTATTTTTATGAGAATTTTATGTAGCTTATTATATATACTCAGATACACTATTAAAACAGGAGTATACCACCTTGGTAGACAGAACAGTGGTTCCAAGATATCTGCATCTTAATCCCTGACCCGTGAACATGTTACCCTACATGGGGCAAAAGGGACTTTGAAACATGATTAAATTAAGGGTCCGAGGTGGGGAGGTTATCATGCAATGCGTGAATGGGCCCAACGGAATCACGAGGGTCTTTATAAGAGGGAGGCAGGAGTGGCGGAGCAGGAGAGAGATCTCAGGAAACTACACTGATGCTGAAAGAGGCAGGAGACCAGGAGCCAGGGGCTGCAGGCGGCTCTTATAACCTGGAAAAGGCAGGACAGAAATGGTCTCCTACAGCTTCCAGAAGGAATATGAACACCTAGATTTTAACCCACTAAGGCCTATTTTAGACTTCTGGCCTCCAGGACCAGAAGATCACAAATCTGAATTATTTTAAGCCTCTGGTGGTTTCCTATGAGCTATCAGAAATGGCACTGAACAGGATCCTTGAGGCCTGCTAAGCCAAGTGTTAACCAGGCAGATGCCTGACTGTGGGTGGATCTGCATGGCCATGGGGGTGGACAGCCAGCGTGAGTGGCAGCTGGCACTGGAGGACAGGGGCAGTGACTATTTGCCGACCAGTGTGGGAATACACATGTCATTGTATTCTCAGTCAGAATGGGTGTAGCAGTGAATTTCTACCATGTACAGATGTAGGTAAAACTAAATCTAAAGGATGTAGAGCAGATTCTGACACGTTTCTTGAATTTTTCTTCCTGGAGGCTCTGGGATTAATTCTCAACCAAAGTTGCCAAAGCAACAATTCTAATAAGTTTCTGAATTCTTTCCTCTGTATACTACATGAGGCTTTTCCAGAGAGTGGGCTGGGATTACTCCTTGCTTAAGAGTTTTATTATTAAACCCATAGATTTTTTAAAATTTACTATCTGAAAATTCCATCTGTTTAAGTATTTAGTCTATTTTTCTTTCATCTACCCCGTTTTCTCATTTTTGAAAAACTCTGCCTCTCTTATCCACATTTTAAATAACAGGAGACAAGGGGCCGGCACTGTGGCACAGCAGTTAAAGCCCTGGCCTGAAGCGCCGCATCTCATATGGGCGCAGGTTCTAATCCCGACTGCTCCTCTTCCAATCCAGCTCTCTGCTATAGCCTGGGAAAACAGTAGAAAATGGCCCAAGTCCTTGGGCCCCTGCACCCACGTGGGAGACACGGAGGGAGCTCTTGGCTCCTGGCTTCGGATCGGTGCAGCTCCAGCCATTGCAGCCATCTAGGGAGTGAACCAGCAGATGCAAGATCTCTCTCTCTCTACCTCTCTGTAACTCTTTCAAATAAATAAAATAAACCTTTAAACAAACAAACAAACAAACAAATAACAGGAGACAAGTGAAACAAAGGGGGAAAGGCATCAGTGACTTGCTTAAATTCACACAGCCAGGCATCAGCCCGGGCAGCCCTGGACCAGGCTCAGCACACTCCATCCCGTCCATGGTGATGTGGAGTCACTCCTCCACTCCAAGTGAGCAGAGCTCCGTTGTCATCTTCTTATTCTTAAAGTGCAATCCCTCACCATGTAACCCTTCCATGGCCTTCCCCTGCAATTTGAATAAAGTCCAATTCCTTCCATTGCTTCCAAAACCCTGCATGACTGGGCTCTGAGCCTTCTGAGGACCCTATATGTGCACCCATCCCACTGGCTTCCTCTCTGTTCTGCAGATGCCAAGTTCTGTCCAGTGTGAGGACTCTTGGGTCATAAATGTGTGGTCCACTCTGCCTACAGCAGGACCCTATCCTATGCTTACTGTGTTTGAATTGAATTAATGAATGTGTGTACTTTGTTTGTTGCCCCTATAGGCTCCATGAGTGCAAAGAGCTCATTTATCTTGTTCACTGTTGTGGTGTAGAACCTGGTATACAGTAGGGTTTCAATAAATACTTACTGAATGATGCTTGTGGTTATTCCACACGGATTTACCCTACAGTCATAACACCACTCTCAAGACATAGAATTTCTCCTCCGTCTTGTAAACCCTTGAGACAGGCTGCCAATCAGACACCGGGACTGAACAAAAGAAAGCTTTAGATGTTTGGTGAGTTATGTAGCACAGCATAGCTGGGGCTTAAGGAAGTGGAAACTAGCTTTCTGACCCCTGCAGTAATCAGCTTACACTGTGGAACAGGAGATCTGAATCTCCTTATCTACTCCTCCATGAGAATATTATGTTTCATTTACACTCACAGCCTTCTGGACTGAAATATCGTATTTTATGAGTAATAGTATCTGTAAGTAAGATAAAAGACATCACAAAAGAGAATGAAAGCATTTAAAATACAACAATTACTGAAATAAAATCATCTCTAGGACATTGTTCTGACAAGTTCTCTTTGGTTTTATTAATTTCTTCTAAGCACATCACCATGAATCTTCTTTACGAGTGTTTAGATCCTGTGTGCACAATCCTTGCATTTATTCACTGGAGGCTAAGGCACAATGCAGTGTGGAATCTCGGCTGTTTTCCTGCCTTTCTCCATAGTAATGCCTTGAGAAAGGAAATGGTAGAATTTAGATGATCAAATGCCTCAGGAAAACTGTGCATGTACACGTTTTATAAGTAGAATGATGAGATATAACAAGCACAGAATAATAAATGTCAAATGATGACATATATACAACTTCTTTAGCAATTCTAATATTTTGCAAGATTTCTTTATATGTCTTCAGATATTTAAATTCTTTTCACTCATTACTCATTCCATTCTATTCTAGAAATTCTTACTATTACCTGTGAAAAAATCAGCTTATTCTCTTGTTAAAATGTTTCTCAATGAGCTCTTTTGTTTAAATGCTAATTGTTTCCTTTAGCAACCTTACAGGGATTTCTATATTCTGGTATCAACACACCTGCAATGTCAAATAAAAGATGAGGTTTATGAGCTATATAAACTACAATAAAAATTTCAAACTATTTATGGCATTGTGGAGGGAAAATAAGGGCAGTGTCTGATTTTTATAACATTGTACTATTGTACTAAGGCCACTAAAGTCTTTTTAAACATTGAAAGCATCATGTGATTTAATCCTGATAAACGATCAATTTAACAAGGTACTTTCAGAAGAAACAGAATTTATGATCCATGATACCCAGATTCATATATGTATACATGTACATTAATTTTTATACAAATTTTCCAAGAATCACTATGAATAATTCAGAGAAAGTCACAGAAATATTAAAATCCACCCTTAATGTCCAAATAGTTACTATGACCAATTCACATAAATTAATAGAGATCTTAATTCATAGGCATTATAATAAGAGACTAGATAGAGTGGACAGCATTGTAGAGCAGCAGGTTAAACTGCTGCTTGCAGGCCTAGCATCCCATCTCAGAGAAGGCTTGAGTCCTAGTAGCTTATTTCCAATCCAGTTCCCTGCTAATGTGTCTGGGAAAGTAGCAAAAGATGACCAAGCAATTGGGCCCCTGTTACTCATGTGAGGGACCCAGATGGAGTTCCTGGCTCTGGCCTTTGGCCTGGCCCAGGCCTGGCTGTTGCAGCCATTTGGGGAGTGAACCAGTTTATGTCTTTCTCTCTCTCTCTCTCTCTCCCCTTCTCTCTCTTTCTCATTTCTCTCTCTCTCTCTCTCACTCTGCCTTTCAAACAAAGAAATAAATATTTTAATAAAGAGAGACTATATAGAGTAGAATACACTAATTGTTGGTTTCAGTTTACAATTCCTCAACTAAGAGCCAGCTATTGGTGGGTAAGTCAATATAAACTTGTTAGGTAGGCAAAGAGTATATTAATGACTAAAATAAGTAGCTGGTAAGAAAAAAAAGTCTTAAATTTCTCTCTCAATTCTTTCTATGTAATTCCAAACCACTTAGATTTATTGTCATGGAAACTATAACTTGATATGCCAGATTTCAAGCCTCTTGTCTTGTTCATCTTTGTAAAGACAAATTCTTATTTCCCTTACATATATACTATGAATAGATATCCAACAAAATACTTACTGAATAAGTAACTGAATTCACATTGTGGAGAACAGTGGTTTCCAAGTCCTGTTTTGTGTTTTCTGGGGCTGTCAGGCTACTTTCTTGGGGAGGCACTGGGACAGTCTTCCTGGATCCTGCGCTGGGCCCTGGGCTCTGACAATACCAAGAATCCAAATTCACCAGCCACACTACAGATTGTTTTCCTTCAAGTATTCTTCATTTACTATCTCGTAAAGTGTTAATGGAATTTCTTTACATAATATATTTCATGGCCAATAAAAGGTGGCTTTGCTTAATCAGTGATTAAGAGTAGACAGTTCTCTTTCTGTTGTAAAAGTAGAAGACTGATAATAAAATTGAGGGATGGGCATTTGGACTAAAGGCTAAAACACCCACCTCCCATATAAGAGTGCCTGTGTTCAATCCCCACCTTGGCTCCTAGCTTCAGCTTCCTAACAATGCAAATCCTGGGGGGCAGAAGTTGATGGCTCAAATAATTGGGATCCTGCTACTCACATTGGAGACCTGTATTGAATTCATAGCTCCTGGCTTTGGCCCCTTGGCCAACAAGGACTTTTGGGGGAGTAAGCCAGCAGAAGGAAGCTCCCTGTCTGTCACTCTGTCTCTCAAATGAATAAATAAATAAAAGCAAATTGATGCATTTAAGAAATTATGCTGGGGGCTGGCACTATGACATAGACAGTTAAGCCTCCGTCTGCAGCACCGCCATCTCATATGGGCACTGGTTGGAGTCCCGCTGCTTCACTTCTGATCCAGCTCCCTGCGGATGCGCCTTGGATGGCAGTGTAGGATGGCTCAGGTGCTTGGGCCTCTGCACCCATGTAGCAGACCTGGATGAGGCTCTGGCTCATGACTTTGGCCTGGTCCAGCCCCAGGGCTGTTGCAGCCATTTGGAAAGTGCCAATGGGTGGAAGACTTCTCTCTCTCTCTCTCTCCCCCACTGCGTGCATGTGTGTGTGTATGTGTGTGTGTGTAACTCTGCCTTTCAAGTGAATAAATGAATCTTGAAAAAAAAAAAAAAGAATTTATGCTGGAGTGGGCATTATGGTGTAGAGAGTAAAGCCACCATCCTTGATGCCAGCATTCCATACAGTACCGGCTTTGAGTCCTAGATGCTCTACTTCAGATCCAGCTCCCTGTGTGTGTGTGTGTGTGTTTTAATTTATTTGACAGATAGAGCTATAGACAGTGAGAGAGAGAAAGACAGAGAGAAAGGTCTTCCTTCCACTGGTTCACTCCCCAAATGGCCGCCATGCCGGCGCTGTGCCAATCTGAAGCCAGGAGCCAGGTACTTCTCCCTAGTCTCCCACGTGGGTGCAGGGACCCAAGCACCTGGCACCCATATGGGATGCCGACATCGCAAGTGGAGCATTAACCAAGTGAGCCACAGCGTCGGCCCCCCAGCTCCCTGTTAATGGCCTGAGAAAAGCAGCAGAAGATTGGCCAAGTGTTTTGGTCCCTATTACTCATGTGGCAAATCTGGATGAAGCTCCTGGCTTCTGGCTTCGGCTTTCTTCAGCCCTTGCCATCTGAGGAATGAACCAGAAGATCGCTCTCTCTATCTCTCTCTCTCTCTCTTTCTGTCTCTCTCTCTCTCTCTCTCTAACTCTTTCAAATAAATAAATCTTTTTCAAAAAGAGAGTTTATGCTTACCTCATTTTGTCATGCATGTGTGTACATTATGCTTTCATGTGTGTTTTGTCATCTACCTATTTATCATCTATCTAATCTCCTTAATGGGAAGTGTCCCTGAACTGAATGAATTGCTGCTGGCGGGCTCTGCAGCCTGCTTATTGCATGTGTCTCCTTGCTTTGGAAGTTCAACATAGAAACGAGATAAAAAAGGAGTTGCTTTAACTAAAGTGGTTCAAAGCCACTAGTGACTGAAAGAGATCTTGTATTAGAACAGAAGAAATTAGGGAAAGGTTCTAGACTTACCACTGGTATTAATTACATATGTAACATAGAGAAATTCATCAACTTACCCGGCCCCAAGACTCACACCCATAAAACAAAAGGATCGAACGAAATGTTTTCCAAAGCGCGTTAAAGCACTAAAAATATTTTGACTACAATAAAATAAATCTATCTTATTTAATTTGTTTAATAGAAATCACAATTATTTCCTACAATTTAATCTTTAAATTAAATCTTATGGCTTGAATTATACCTCCAAAAATATATGTTGAGATTCTAACTTTCAATACCTCAGAACATTACCTTGGAAATAAAGTCATTTGCAGATGTAATTAGTTAAGACAAGGTCCTACAGGAGTAATATACAGCTTTTATACAATGTGTTTACCTTTCCAAGGAGAAAAGATAAAGAGACAGAGACCAAGTGGTAGCAGAGACTGAGATTGAAATATGTGCCTATAAGCCAAGAATATCAGCAAGGACCAAAAGCTTGGGAAAGACAAGAATCAGATTCTCCCTAAGAACACCCAGAAGGAATCAACTGGGCAAATAGCTTGATATTGGAGAGAATAAATTTTTATTCTAAAACACTCAGTTGTAGTACTTTGTCACAGCAGCTCTGGAAAGCAATTAGGAAATTAATATAATATTTTGTGTATGAATTTCATTTTCAGTTTTACATATAAGATTCGCAGCTGGTTAAATAAACATTTTCAACGAGGCATGATTCATCCTCAATTATTTTTCCTTAAGTCACATTTTATTTTAATTCATTACAGATGCACTGCATTCTGAAAAAATATTAATTTACTGGCAATAAGCAGATTTTAGAAAACTTATCCGCCTTGAAACAAAACACAGCCACTGAAATAGTCTCATTGTCTCCAACCTGTAGTATGTAGAGACAGCAAAGTGAAGTGGTTGAGAGACCATCAGTGTTCAAATCTTGATTCTACTATTTTCTTTTTTTTTAAAGATTTTACTTATTTATTTGAGAGTCACAGACAGTGAGAGGGAGAGACAGGTCTTCCTTCCGCTGGTTCACTCCCCATATGGCTACAACAACCAGAGCTGCGTCAATCCAAAGCCAGGAGCCAGGTGCTTCTTCCCGGTCTCCCATGTGGTTGCAGGGGCCCAAGGACTTGGGCCATCTTTTACTGCCTTCCCAGGCCACAGCAGAGAGCTGGATTGAGAGAGGAGCAGCCGGGACTAGAACCAGTGCCCATATGGGATGCTGGCGCCACAGGCGGAGGATTAACCTACTGCACCACAGCGCCGGCCCCAATTCTGCTATTTTCTAGCTTCTGTATGTGACCTTAGTCGTGTCTCTTAGCTTCTCCGCCTCAGTCCCCCAAAGAACAAAAGCTTTCATCTCAAAGGATTGTTGGGTTGATCAAAAGAATTAACATATGTGAAGGTCTCTGTAAAAAATTGCACACAATGAATGCTATTGCTTGAGTATCTGTGTGTGTCCACTTCAACTCCTATGTTGAAATCCTAGCCCCTAAAGTGATGGAATAAAGAGCTGGGGCTTTGGGGATGCGATTAAGACATAAGGGCAGGGCCTTCATGAGTGGGATTGTGTCCTTTGAAGACGGACTGCAGAATGCTAGCTCATCCCTTCTACCATGTCAGGATGAAGCAAGAAGATGCCTCCCATGGACCAGAAGAGGGTCCTCACCCAACACAGAATCGCTGGCGTCTTGTTCTTGGACTTCCCAGCCACCAGAACCTCGAGAAACACGTTTGCATCATTCTGAAGCTTCCTGCTTCATGGTATTTTGTTACAGCAATCCAAACAGATAAGATAGCAAGTTGTTCAATACATGTAGTGCTTCTAACCCACTCCAGAAGCGACTGCTCAAAGCACTCTGACGTGTCAGTCACCTGCTCAACACCACATGGTTCTCCATGCTATTTGTGAAAATGCTCAACGCCATACAAATTTTGACCCCATCTAACTTCCTGTTTTTTTTTTCTTCCCTTATGTTTTGTGTACTGAAGTTCCACTCTCCTTTGAAATCTAACTCATACTCTTATCCTCTACTGATAAGTCTTCCACATCACCTCTGCCAAACTCAATCGTTAATCCTCTGCCTTATTCTCAATGTGCAGATCCTGCCCAGGACTTATTTGTGCATGCTATGTCCCACTTGATAGATTACAAACTCCAGGAGGGCAGGATCTATAAATTTGTGATTTTGTATGCTCTGTTCTACTCAGAATTTTATACTTAGTAGCTACTCAATAAATGGTTGTTAAACTTGGTTGAACCCATTCATTGTTTTTTTTTTCTTCTTTGTGGTAGATGCCCTAAGCAAAACATAAAATAAATGGATTACTTTTCTTCTTTCCATTGCATATGCCCTGGGCTAGTGGGTATTTGCAAGCCTAGTTTAGAATTTAGGGAAGTCATCAATCTTAGAAAGGAGATGAGACGTATTTAAAATCACAAGAGCAACACAGGCTTATATAAGGACTTCCAGCAAGGCAATTATCTATGGCTCAATAACCCAGGTGCTGGTATTATTATGAACAAAAATCTGAGGGTGAGAGACAACGAGTGATCTCAATTTTTATATTCCATAGGTATGCAATTCAATGAAATATGTACAGATGGAAAGTCTGGATCTGAGAATCATATGTGGGTATCATAATGCAAATAATTGGCTTTCTTTCTAAGGAACATCTGTTGAAACATCTGAAAGCAGTTGTTTATTCTGCTGCCAAAATGCTGAAAAATACAATAATTCTCCAATGAGGTAGAAATATCCAGGGGAAGAAAAATGTTTTCTATGTAGTTTTGTTTTTATTAAATCTTATTGTTGTTTCTCTAATATGGCACATAAGAGATGTTCAATAATATTTGTTGAATGAATGTTGAATGAAAAGCAGAAACTCATTAAACAGTTGTTGAATGAATCATTTCTTTTTTTCAGACTTGTGAGAAACATTTTCTGAAAATAGTTCACCCACGTTTTATCATGTCGTATACCATTTTTATCTGGCATAAATTTCAGCAATGCAGCTCTTGCTCTGAATATTATAGGATGTCATCAGCATATACAGCTGTAAGAAAAAAATCTTAACACTCCAGAAAATGTATGAATAAAGCTAGATATATGATAGTAGCATTTTACTATCTTAATGTGTTACTTTTATTTATTAGCATAAAACCTAAAATACGAACTATGGGCTTGCATAATCATGTTTGC